AGGAAGAAAGGGGCTTCCTGGCTTCCTCCTCCATGGGGCACTGGTGCCATGCCCAGCACCAAAATGCCCCTACCCAATGCCGAATAGGAACACAGAGCACCGTGAATTGCTGGCTCTAAAAGGAAGAGTGGAAGACTTGTATTCTCAACCCACAGCTGCTACTGCTACATTTAAAGACACTGCCGTGAACATTGTAAGTTCTCTGGCTCATGGAAGGAGGAATCTATTCCAAAGACTCTGGGAAAAACTGTAAATTAAATAAAAATATGATGAGAGCTCTCTTCCCTGAGCTTTATAGATGTTAATAATGCACCTTGTTGGCCGGGCACGGTGGCTCACTCCTATAATTCCAGCACTTTGGGAGGCCAAAATGGGCAGATCATGAGGTCAGGAGATGGAGACCAGCCTGGCCAACATGATGAAATTCTGTCTCTACTAAAAATTAGCTGGGCATGGTGGCAGGTGCCTGTAATCCCAGCTACTCAGGAAGCTGAGGCAGGAGAATTGCTTGAACCTGGGAGGCAGAGGGTTGCCATGAGCCGAGATGGTGCACCACACTCCAGCCTGGTGACAGGGCAAGACTCCCTCTCAAAACAACAACAACAACAACAAACTGGACACATATTTTTCACTGTATACAAAAATTAACTCAGGTTGGATTAAAGATTTAAATTTAAGATCTCAAACTACAATAATCCTAGAAGAAAAACTTGAAAAGTACCATTCTGGATATGGGCTATGGGAAATAATTCATGGCTAAGTCTTCAAAAGAAATTGCAACAAAGCAAAAGTTGACAAGTGAGACCTAATTAAACTAAAGAGCTGCCATACAGCAAAAGAAACCAACAGAGTAAACAGACAACCTACAGAATGGGGGGAATTACTCACAAAGCATCATACAACAAAGGGCTAATATCCAGAATCTATAAGGAACTGAATTCCACAAGCAAAAAACGAATAACCCCATTTAAAAATGGGCAAAAGCCATAAATAGGCACACTTCCTCCAAAAGAAGGACATCATGCTAACCACATCCGTGACAGACCTCTCAGAAAAAAAAAAAAAAACATAATGCGTCAACAAACATATGAAAAATGCTCATCATCACTAATCACGAGAGAGACAGATGGCCAAATCAAAAATTGGACAAGTCAAGATACTTAATCTCCTACACACCAGGTCCAGGATATGGACTCATTGATTCTTCTAACTAAAGGTTAGCCACGGCGGAATGACTAGCTGGGTGCGGTGGCTCATGCCTGTAATCCCAGCACTTTGGGAGGCCAAGGTGAGCGGGTCAGGAGGTCAGGAGATCAAGACCATCCTGGCTAACACGGTGAAACCCCATCTCTACTAAAAATACAAAAAAATTAGCTGGGTGTGGTGGTGGGTGCCTGTAGTCCCAGCTACTCGGGAGGGTGAGGTAGGAGAATGGCGTGAACCCAGGAGGCGGAGCTTGCAGTGAGCTGAGATCATGCCACAGCACTCCAGCCTGGGCAACAGAGTGAGACTCTGTCTCAAAAAAGAAAAAAGGAAAAAAGAAAGTCAAAAAAATAGCAGATACTGGCAACTTTAAGACAAAAAGGGAATGCTTATACACCGTTGGTGGCAATGTAAGTTAGTTCAGCCGCTGTGGAAAGCAGTTTGGAGATTTCTCAAAGAACATGAAACAGAACTAACATTCAACCCAGCAATCCCATTACTGAACACGTATCCAAAAGAAAACAAGTCATTCCACCAAAGACATGTGCACTCGTATGTTTATTGCAACACTATTCACAATAGCAAAGACGTGGAATCAACCTAAGTGCCCATCAACAGTGGACTGGATAAAAATGTGGTACATATAGACCATGGAATACTATGCAGCCACAATAAAATGAAATTATGTTCTTTGAGGGAAAATGGCTAGAGCTGGAAGCCACTAAGTGAACTAATGTAGTAACAGAAAACAAACGCCTCATATTCTTATAAGTAGGAGCTAAACTCTGAGTACCCATGGACATGAAGGCGGTAACAATAGACACTAGGGACTGCTAGGAGCAGGAGGGAGGAAGGAAAAGGCTGAAAAACCACTGAGTACTGTGTTCAGTACCTGGGGGTTGGAATCATTAATACCCCAATCCTCAGCAGCACACAGTATACCCAGGGAAAAAACCTACACGTGCACACCCTGAATCTGACATAAAAGTTGAAAAAGAAAAAAACAGAACAGAGTCTCTGTCTGTTCTCAACATATCAGTTGTGTCCCTCTTCGATTTGAAATTCTCACTATTGGCTATATTTGGGGGTACCCTATTTCCCTTCTCATAACTTATTTTAAGAAGCACAGAATAATAATGTGTGGGCTTGGGATTCAGTTTTTGAAATAAAACACTGAGCCTTCAATGACCTTCCTGTACATGTAAAAGCACAGCTGTCTGCATGGCAGCAGCTGGACCCCACAATGTGGATTGTGCCTTCACCCTGAAATGTCTGTGATGCCCTCTCACCACAGTGGTGGGATTAGGGATCTCTTGCCCTCAGTCCTAAGTGCCACTGTTGGTGCCAGCCAGGCCACTGGGCCATTGTGGCGGACAGTGGTGTCCTTTGTGTGGAGGGCACTGAGTGTGCACTGAGGCAGACACAGCATTTTTAACAACTTTATCTGCTTCTTTCAAAACTGAGTCTGAATTGTGATAAAGTGGTTGGTTTTGGCCAAGCAGGTGTATGTCATAGAACAATGGCTTGGGAGTTCAGAATCCTGGGTTTGAATGAGCCTCTGAGCCTTATTAAGCTGTGAAATCTAAAGCAAGCCATTTCACTGATAATGAAGCCTCATGAGCACTTATACTGTTCACTTTACCTACATCGAATCATTCGGCCATCACCACAGACATATGGCGGACAACACTTGGGACGACCGGTCACATTCTTTCAGTGCTCGGCCACTCCTCAGCACATATCCCAAAGCTGGTAAATAATGGGAAGACCATTGATTGATATTTGATGGCATTATGAACTTCAAATGACCCCTATAGAAATGTTAAAAAAAAAAAAAAAGTCTGTGAGCTACACAACCTGGGGACAAGACAAGTAAGAACACAAACTACCACTAAATAATTAGCCTCCTGTATCACCCTGGTTGCAACTCCCCTGGCAGCTGGTTTGAAGAGCCTCAGCGCTCACCAGGGCCATCTCCCCACTATGCCCTCTCTTGCTGTGGGTTGCCTGGGCTGAACATAGGCAGCCCCTCACATGATGACTGCTGACACAAGGCAAAGGAAGACTAAATGGAAAATGTATGTTTATAGTGATTATTTTAAAATATAAGTATTTCAGTATTTTCTAATCTTTAATAATTGATTATTTTTAGGGGACTTTTTTTTTTGAGATGGAGTCTTGCTCTGTTGCCCAGGCTGGATTGCAGTGGCACAATCTCGGCTCACTGCAACATCTGCCTCCTGGGTTCAAGCAATTCTCCTCCCTCAGCCTCCTGAGTAGCTGGGATTACAACTGTGTGCCACCACACCCAGCTAATTTTTTGTGTTTTTAGTAGAGATGGGATTTCACTGTGTTAGCCAAGATGGTCTCCATCTTCTGACCTCATGATCTGCCTGCCTCAGCCTCCCAAAGTGCTGGGATTACATGCGTGAGCCACTGTGCCCAGCCTGTTTTGTTTTTGTTTTTGTTTTTGAGGAGTCTCACTCTGTCACCCAGGCTGGAGTGCAGTGGCATGATCTTGGCTCACTGCAACCCCTGCCTCCCAGTTCAAGGGATTCTCCTGCCTCAGCCTCCCAAGTAGCTGGGACTACAGGCACATGCCACCATGCCTGGCTAATTTTTTTTTTTTTTTTTTTTAAGTAGAGATGGGTTTTCACCATGTTTGTCAGGCTGGACTCAAACTCCTGACCTCAAATGATCTGCTCACCTTGGCCTCCCAAAGTGCTGGGATTACAGGTGTGAGCCACCATGCCTGGCCAATTATTTTTATAACTGAGACAATAAATAAATAAATAAAATTAATGCTGGTGCATGGTATTAAATCTAGTTTTAAAAAACTTCACACATAAACAAGGGCAGAACACTATACCCTCCAAGATAAATTCAGTAGCAGTGTATATGGGTCTGTGGAGGTTGAAAGGGACTTGGTAGAAGTCAAGAAGGTAGTGGCCATCCTGCTGGGCTTTTAAGGGGTCTGAAGAAGAGACAGGATGCTGTGGTTGAATCCTAGCATGTATTTTAGTATTTTTTCATTTTGAGCTTGATTATTTCTTGTTGTTTTCATTTGCCACTACCTGGAAAGCCAAGGGCTCTACTCTCATTTCCTTTCTGCTCTTTCTTTGCCTTCCTTGGTCCATGAAGAGGATGGTCCAGGAGAAGCTTATTCCATGCTTGTTAACCAGGCACATCCCTAAGTTCCAGTCCCTGAGTCATTCATGAGTAGCACCACCATGAACAGACAGCCATGCTGTGTCCTTCCACATCCCCTAAGTGACTCCTTCGAGCCTTCCAGAAAGTGGGCGAGAAGGAAGCCCTACTCTACCACCACGGTAAAGTAGCCTGTCTTTGCCTAAGATGTAAATGTTGTTTTCTTGGTTCCCTTATTTTTCAGTTGATATCAGCTATGGGAAAATTATCCAGTACATTATAGATGTTAGATAATATTTCCTTGGGAATGGAGGAGGTGTATCTTACCAACTGACACCTGATTCCAGAGGATGTACAACATTGGCAGTGTCAGATAGTACACTGTGTGTTAAGGGATATTTTCTTCAGGAACAAGCTTTCCACTTTAGATAAGAATTCTGCAACTGCCACCCAAAAATTATCTAGACAGAAACATTCTTCAAGAAAACTCCTGTGCTTTCCTACGGGAACTCTACTCTAGAGTTGGGGCTTTTGATTTGAATGTTCTTTCCAATCTTGGTTACCCAGAGTTTCCAAGTGAGCAAAAGACCTGTGCGAGCCATCCATAGCATGGCCTGATTCTCAGAGTGTTTTCCTTCTCTAATTACAGGTGACTTCAGGGAGCACATTCAATGGTACGTATTCTGGAATCACTCACTGGCTGTGAGAAAAAGATTCTGTAGGAAATGTGGAGCCTAACTGCTGGCTTTTGTCTGGAGAGCCTCCATGATCTAAGACGCTTGGTGGGAATGAGGATGGGGGGGGTATAGTAAAAGAAACTGGTTTCCCAGGTGACAAACACTTTTTATCTATGTATAGTTCCTGGGAACATGTTCACATTAGGTGGTGTTCACATTAGGTGACGTTCACATTAGGTCGTGTGGGAGTGTGTGTATTAGTGTGGGGGGGTGGGGTGGTCTATGTGCAAGTCTGCATGATTTGCTTGTGAATGTGTGTCTATGTGTGTTTCCCCTAGGAAAAAAATGTTGTGTTTACCCAACACAACTCTCAGTGCCATTTTTCTTAATTTAACAAATCAGACCACACATTTTACTTACATTAGTTCAAACCTCCTCATGCCCATATGCTGTGAGCTTGTTTATTGAATCCACATACCAGATGGAGAAATTAAGCCACATAAATAAATGTGCCCTGGCTCACTTGCTATGAAGTGAGGAGCCAAGATGTTTACTCATACGGTGCTAATGTTGAAAGGATCACTATTCACCATGCAAGGGAGCTCCAGCACCCTCTATGCCTGGAATTACCCAAGCCTGCAGAGATCCCAAACACCATCCCTCACATAAGAGAGCCTCAGTGATCTCAGAATCCAGGTAGCTATGTAGGCATCTCCCTGCAAGTTTCACATAGTCCTTAGTGTGAAACAGACATAGAAAGCCCATGTTTCTGATCAAGTCACAGGTTCTAAAACACTAAGGGAGGCACTAAGTAGGACAATATGGTGCCTGTGTGTCACAGCTGGTCTCTCCTCAAGACATGGCTCAAGTCCAATAAGAATTGGGGAAATGCTTTAGAGTCTTGGACAGAGTTATCACCACAAGCCCTCTGAGCTACATAATTTAGGGATCATGACTATTAAGTACTCAAATTACCACTTGGCTATTATCCAGGTATCCGTCATCCTTGTGGCAACTCTCTTATGAAGCTGGCGGGGAGAGCGTCAGTGCTGGAGCTGAGCCTCCCTTCTGGATGGGCCCTCCCTGTGTTAGCAGGTGGGTGCAGGCATGGGGGTCAGCACGCTCAGTGGATTTACACACACAGCATTGAAGAATAAGGCTGGGCTTCATTATTTACACATTTTCAATAACTGACGATCTTCGTAACATAAAATCAATGATTTACTACATTAGAATATTGTCCCTAGTATTGAATCTTGTCTCTCAATAAAGGGTTGCTTAAAGTCACATGAGAGATTCAACTGATGATACATGGGACAGGCGGTAGCAGCAGTTAAAGCAGTCATTTGAAAAGGCTTTTACTATAAACTTACTTGTGAGCCTGAAGGGGAGGATAAAAGAGATGATTAACTCCCCTGTGCTGTGTTCCTATTATGTGCGTTGTGGAGGACAATTACACAGGAAGGTGATGGAGGGAACAGAGCAAAGGATTGCACAGGTCCATTGAACCCATAAGACAATGGTGAGGTTAGTGAGTGAGACTGCTCATTCTAGGTTGAATTTTACCTCATGCATTCTTTCCATGCTTTCTTCCAGTAGTTCCTTCTCTTTTTTATTAACTCGGTCACGGTTGCTAAAATCCTCACTAAAAGAGGACAAAGCTTTGTAATAACATAAAAGCTTGTAAAGTTGTGATAGCTCAAATTTTACAAAATACTGGGGGCTTTTGCCTGAGACCTGGATAAACTAGTTGTGTAAGAATGGGGGGTCCTCTGAAGACTACTGGACTTCTGGGAAGAAAGATCTAAGTTGCCTCTCTGTGATATGGAGTTAGTCTTAAAGCCAGGGACATGGTAGTCTCTAAGTCACATAGAAGGCTCTGAGAAAGGAAAATGAGGTCTCCATTTTCTGGATTTAGGATGTCTCTGAGAGCAAGCAGGGGGTCACAGAAGTATACAGAGAAATAGATAATGTGGGTAATACATATGTTTATAGTATCTAGAAGAAAACATCAAGCTGTACATTAAAAAATACCTAGAGTTTTGAAAAAGACAACTAAAATATAAGAATCTTTAAAACTCACAATGCAAATCAGGACCACGTGGCTTCCTTTTATTTCTACTGAACAGTAAAATAAACATAGCACCAATCTTGCGAACACACTTCCAGAGAACACACAGAGTAAATGCAGCCTTGCTGCCTGATTATTTCCAGAGAATCTTGATTGCACGCCTGCAATAACAGACATTACAGAAAAGGGGAAGGACAGAAACATTTTTCTGAAGGTAGAAGTCAAACCCTGAAAACAAACATTAGCAATCTAGCATCAGACTTTTTCTCAGAAAGGAAGAAAAACAGGATTTTTTGGGGGGATTTCACCGGGGTTCATGGGGAGAGAATCAGTGGCTTTCTGAGATCATTGTTGAAGGGTTGGGAGAAGAGAGGGCCATTGGGTTAATGCAAGGGACATTTGGTGACAGAGGAAAACAGAACTTGGGGTGAACATCAGAGAAGGTCCTGTGGCTATGGAGAGGTCTCCCTAAGAAGAGACAGGACTCTGTCCCCTGCCACAGCAAGGTCTAGGGATGGATGTGGAGTGTATAAATCAGAAACTGAATTTGGATGTGGAAAGAATGAGTGGAGAAGGCACACCCAGAGCTGGCGCAGCCACTGCCCATTCTCAGCCCGACCTTATTGCAGGCAGCTCTGATCAATAGTGAAGGAGGCAGTGGGGGTGGCAGACTTAATTCATTAAACCACCAAAGCATCAGCCACATGGCCACTTTTCCAGTTAATTCAAAGTAGCTTGCATATTCAGGTTTGATCCGTGGAAGGGAAGTTACTCTTTGCAGACCCATCTTTTGACAATCATTTTGCAATGTCAGAAGGTCTGAACAGCCTTGGGAGGCAAGCAGACCCTGGTCCCTCAGTGTAGTCACTGGAGGAGACAGTCACTGAGAGGCAGCTGACAGGGTGAAGGGAGAGGGGAGGAAGGCCACAAAGATGACAGCCTTTAAAATAAACTGTCATCTTGGGGAGGTCAAGGATCTGAAAGAGGAAGGAGAATTCTTTATCATTAAGGACCGGTCCTTGTCTCAGGCATCTCCTCCAGAGCATCACCTTTGTCCACCCACACACCTCGGGCTAGGAGGACTGGAGAAAGACAGTGAGGGGGTCTCTTGGGTCTCTGGCACAGGGCGTGATGTAGAGGTGTCAGTTGTTCAGGAATCTCTGTCTCTAGGGAACCAAATACATTTCCCATCTCAGATCCTTCACTCATTGGGGTTGGGATTCTACTCGTCACTTTTCATCTCTGAATGTCAGCACCCTCAAGTGTAAAATCTCAGCCACAGCCCCTCCTCTGCCCTCCCTGCAGGGCTGATGTTCTCCATAAGCCATAAGGCATCATGCCCACGGAAAAGCCGAATAGGAAACCATGCGCCACTGCCCCGGAGCCATCCAAGCATCCTCTCCATATTCAGCCACTAAGTGTCCAACTTATTCCTCCTGGCATGTAGTAAACACTTAGAGAACACTACTGAAGTACCAGTCCTCTCTTAAGGTTTTCCTGTATTTAGTGATTTTTTTAACCCTGTACTGGGATACTAAGAAGTAGGGCCTAAAAACTATTGCTAAAATTTCATTATGAGAGTGCAGAGGACTGACGGCAGAGGGACGACATGAGCTTGCCAGGTCCACATGGCTTAGTGGAATTTGAATCCGGGTCCCCACTCTGCACCAGCCCTGCACTTGCAGTCATCCTGCTGTGTTCTCCTCTCCGTGAAGGCACTGCCTACAGTCTGTCTGATAGAGGTGTTGAGTGCTCACTGAATCACTTTGATTCAGCAGGCTCTGCTTGGAAGCCTGTAAAGAACAGGATCATAAGTTTAAACTTAAAACAGATTATAACTATTTTCCCTCTGGTCTTCTGTCAGCAAGATGTCAACAGCCCTCTCTATTGTAAATGCATTAACCAGCATCTTCTCTGATAGAGATTATAAGAAGATACGCCGTGTCCACCACTCAGCTTCAGAGACCTCATGGCTTCTGGGTAAAGAAGGAGGTATACCCTGTAGAAGGTACTGTGGAAGTTCATTAAGTTGATTCAAGAATCGCAATTGTGGGGAGTATTCAGTGTCCCATATGTAAAAAGGAAACTATGAAGAGATTAAGCCACATTTTTTAATGTGTCAGAATTCTAATTTACGTAATCAGTAAGTATTACTACAACCGCAAAAGTAAATATCCACTTAAAAGTCAATTTTTGTTCATGTTTAATGACAGACAATGTTTCAAGCTAGTGTCTAGAACTTACCTGGTTGTTAAACATTAGCATAGATCTCCCTGAAAGAGTGGTGCTATATTATTATTTTTAAATTAATATAAATTAAATACATATAAATTAATTGACATAAAAATTGAGCATATGGCCAGGTGTGGTGGCTCATGATTATAATTCCAGCATTTTAGGAGGCCAAGGTGGGTGGATCACCTGAGGTTGGGAGTTGGAGACCAGCCTGGCCAACATGGTGAAACCCCGTCTCTACTAAAAATACAAAAAATTGGCCCTGTGTGATGGCGGTGCCTGTAATCTCAGCTACTCAGGAGGCTGAGGCAGGAGAATCACTTGAACCTGGGAAGTGGAGGTTGCAGCGAGCCAAGATCACGCCATTGCACTCCAGCCTGGGCAACAAGAGTGAAACTCCATCTCAAAAAAAAAAGGGCACATAATAAAGTTCCCATATTATTCTGTCTTCTCGCCCTCACTTCCTGATTTTACCTATTACTAACATCTTACATTATTGTGGTACATTTGCTAAAATCATGATAAAATATTGACACATTATTATCTGAAATCTATCATTTGCATAATGTTCTTTCTGTTACACATTTATATGAAGTTGGAAATATGTATAACATGTGTTCACTATTATGGTTTCATAAAGAATATGTTCACCTCCCTAAAAATCCCCTCTTCTCATTAATCTCTGTCCTCTTTCTCCAGAAACCTTGGCAACTATTAATATTTTTACTGTTTCTTCAGTTTTGCCTTTTCCAGAATGTCATATAGTTGGAATCATATATTATGTAGCTTTTTCAGATGAATTTATTTCACTAAATTGATGTATATTTGTTTCCTTCATGTCTTTTTTATGTCTTAATGGTATAAATTGGCACATTAAATCACCAAATAATATTGCATTAAATGGATTTTTGTCTTTGTATTCACCTATTGAAGAATTTGGTAGATTTCATTAGAAACCATCTGGGTCTGGTGTTTTCTTTTTCAGAATGCTCTTAATGTGAATTCAACTTATTTAATAGACATAAGTTTATTCAAATTATCTAGGATTCTAGTGTGACCTTGGGAAGATTGTCTTTCAAGGACTTGAGACATTGCACTGAGGTTATCAAACTGCGGTCATAGAATTGTTTATAATATTCCTTGATTATCCTTTTAATGCCCAACAGTTCAGTGGAGATGGCTCCTGTTTCATTTCTGAAATTGGTCCTTTGTGTTATCTTCTTTTTCTTGGTTAGCCTGCATAGAAGTTCATTCATTGTAATGAGCATCTCAAAGAACCAGCTTTTGTTTTTATTGATTTTCTGATGACTTCAGTGTTTTAATTTTATTGACTTCTGTGATTTTGTCTCTTACTTCTTCTACTTGCTTTACGTTGCATTCCTTTATTTTCTACAGTTTCCTAATTGAAACATGATATTACTGATTTTAGATCTTGTGATTTTTAATCTATTGCATCCAATGCTATAAATTTCCCTCTAAGGACTGCTTTTGCTACATCCAGAAATCTTGTCAAGTCACATTTTCATTTAATGTAGTTAAAGGTATTTTTAATTTTCTATTGAGACTTCTTTAACCCATGAGTTATTTAAAGGTGCATTGCTAATTTGTAAATATTTGGGGATTTTCTGGCTCTTTTACAGTTGTTGATTTTTTGTTGTCGGGTATGTGTTGCAAAAGCGGTGGTCTATCTCATCTTGCCACCTCCCAAGATGGCCCAGGATGTGGGCTTTCCCTGAGTGAATCTTTGGCAATCTGCCAACCTGATGTGGTCTGCCTCCCTCTTTAGTCTGAGTTTGCTTTCTGCTTAGAAAGGGCCATTCTCAGTTCTGGCAGGGAGTTTTCCTAACATTGAGAGGTGACATTCTCACTCCTCAGTGCAGCCTGCACCTCTGACCTGTGGTCAGCAGACAGGACAGAGGCCCTCAGTAGGCAGAGTTCAGCAGAGTCTCTGACCGAAGTGCATCTTCAGAGTCTGCACCTACCCCCTGTGACCTCAGGCAGACTCTGTGTCCTACAGCAGGAGGAACTGTGCAACCATCCTGTGGAAATTTGTGAGGATCACTGTGTTACTCAAGTAAGGTCTTTGGAAAGTGTCGTATTACTACTGTTTGTTAACTGCTTGTTGGTGGCCTGGCTGGGCCACACCCTTTATGAAAACCGGGATCCCTCAGCCAGTGTAGGTATCTGTGCAGCCCGAGACCCTCATGTGAACAGCCTCATGGCAGCTGTCTTTTCCCCTTGCCACCATCAGTGCCTCCTTGTTCCTGGGCACTGCTTTCTCTGATGGGTGCTCCACTGTTTACCTACACCTTAGTGACTACAGCTGGATGTCTTTTCTGGAATCTAGGTGAGGGGCATCAATAGCAGCTCTGCTGTGGCACTGCCCTCTTTCTTAGCTTGTCTTGCTCTGTCTCAGGCTCCCTCTAAAGATCCCACCCTTCAGGTTCTTCCACAAGTTTCTTATTGAAATCTGAGCAGAAAAATATGACCAATATGACCAATCTTATGCCCACTGAAGATATGAATGAAGAATTAAAACAATTCTCCATGGACTCTACCATATAAATCCCCAGAAGTACTTTCTAAAAAAAAAAATCAAGGAAGATGTAATAGTTTTCCATAAATTAGAATACCCTACACATACAATTAAATGAAATGGCTGGTATAGTCTTGAAACCAAAACCAGATAAGGTAAATTAAATTCTGTGATATTTTAAAATACTGTAAATTCTGACTAATGTGAGTTAATCTCAAAATGTGAAATGGTGGATTAATGTTGAAAATGCAATAAATAAACTTAGCTACCTCAAGAGGTTAATGGAGAAAAAATGTGATTATTGCAATAGATTCAGGAAATTCATGGATAACATTTACCATGTATTTATAGGACAACTATCTCATAAACTTTAAGTGACCTGTGACAACCATTTGAATTAATACTGCTTTAACAGCATATCTCTTGACTTGATAAAAACCAGACAAGAATTTCCATAACATTAATTTATTTTTAGCACCTATATTGGGTGTGAACCCATCATAAAGTTTGCCCACTGTAAAGGTATACAATTTGATGCTTTATTAAAATGATACTGTGTGCACCCATCACCATGATCTAATTTAAAAATGTTTCCCTCACCCAAATTCTCTCTTGCCCACTAGCAGTCAATCCCCACTCCCATCTCCAGCCCTAAGCAATACTGCTATGATATTCCATCTCCATAAATTTTCTGCTTGTTTAATATAAATGGACATATATATATTTGGAATCTGACTTCTTTGATTTAGCATACTATGTTTGAAGTTAATTGATGCTTTAGCACATGCTGGTCATCTGTTTTCCTTCATAGTCTGATGTGTTTATTCATACAGATAGTGTTTATTCATTTTTCAGTTAATGGACATTTAATTATTTTTGTTTTTTTCTATGATGAGTAATGTAGCTTTGAGCATTCATATACAGTCATGTAATGCATAATGACATTTTGGTCAATATATATGTATATTTTTTGAGATCCAGGCTGGAGTGCAGAGGCACAATCTCGGCTCACTGGAACCTCTGCCTCCCCGGTTTAAGCAATTCTCATGCCTCAACCTCCCGAATAGCTGGGACAACCAGCACATGCCACCACATCCGGATAATTTTTGTGTTTTCAGTAGAGACAGGGTTTTGCTGTGTTGGTCAGGCTAGTCTCAAACTCCTACCCTCTGGTGATCCACCCACCTCTGCCTCCCAAAGTGCTGAGATTTTAGGTATGAGCCACTGTGCCTGGCCTAATTTTTTTAAGAAACAAGAGAGCTATTTTCTAAATTAGCTTTGCCAATTTATATTCCTACTATGATGCATAGCACTAATTTCACTGCACAATGTGTGGTAGGCCCCAATATGTAAGAAATGATGAAAGTAACACATAAAAATTAGTATAAAACAAATGAGATTATCATTGTTGCTATCATCTTTGTCAAATTCTCAAAACAATCTAAGTATATTTTTATATAAATGTGCTTGGCAACATAGCTGAAAAAAGCATTATCAGTAACAAAGACATACATTTGAAGGGGAAAAACACTTGTACTAACAACACAATGTCAGAATTAACATACAAATTCTGCTGGTCACTTTGGAATATTTAATTGCCTGGGGCAGTGTTTTGTAGACAAATGAACATCTATGGAGCACCCGAGGTAGGGGGAATCAACAAGACTTGGGTTTCAAAAGTTATCTGGGGTTACAGCATGAAACTGTTGGAGGACACACACCTTGTGTGAGTGAGGTGCCTCAGTGTGTGTGGACGTGTTGGAGGTAGAGCATAATGGTGCTTCCTCCAGAAAGGGACATTTGGGGTAGATTCATTCCATTTGAACAACACAGCCTGATGTGGCATGGACATGAATGGAGGTGAAATGGACAGTAGCTGACAGGAGCAGTCCTGACAAGGCCAAGGTGAAAAACCTGGGAAGTCCTTCAGGTGCAGAGCCTTCAGTTGAAAAAGGAGGTGGTCACAGGAAATACTGAGATGGATCAGCAATGCACGGGAGACAGAGTTCTTGGCCCTGTGGAGTGAGTAGTGTGGATTCTCAAGTTTTCTCCTCTCTCCATTAATTTCTCTTCCAATGCAGATGACTTTGAATGTCCAATGGATCATGAGATTATAGACAAGCCTCAGCCTGCTTTTGAAGGTAAAGGAAGGCTGCTAGCAAGACTAGCATCTGGGCTTGGCTGTGCGTGTTTTCTATTGTGGGGAAATATATATAACACAATATTTATCATTTTAACCTTTTAACCAAAGTATGCACACAGTGGCATTCAAAATATTCACAGTGTTGCATAACCAACACCACTATCTACACCCACAATTTCGATAATTTCTTACAAAACCTTGTCCACAGTAAGCAATATAGCACCTTCCCCCTATTTCCAGCCCACGGTGATTCCTATCCTGCTTTCTCTTGTATGAATTTGATTATTCTAGGCACTTCATACAAGTACAGTTATACACTATATTCCTTTTGCGTCTGGCTTATTTCACTAAGTATAATGTTCTCAATGTCCACCCACATTGTATCATCTATCAAAATTGTGTTCCTTTTTTACAAATGGATGATGTACCACTGCATGTAGACCATCTTGCTTTTATTACATTCATTTGTTCATTGATGGTTGGACTTTTCCACCTTTTGGCTCCTGTGAAAAGTGATACTACAAACATTATATACAAATATCTCTTTGATTTCTGTTTTCTATTCTTTGGGGTATATACTTAAGAGTAGAGTTCCTGGGTCCAACAAGAGTTCTGTATTTAACCACTGTTTTTCACAGTGGCTGCAATTTTATCCATTTCTACCAGCAATGTATCAGGGTTGCAATTTCTTTACATCCTTGTTCACACTTATTTTCCTTTAAATCATTCTAGTAGGTGTATATTGGTGTCTACTTGTGTTTTTCATTTGCATTTCTCTAATGACTAATGGTCCTAAGCAGCTTTTCCTGTGCTACTATCCATGGGTGTATCTTCTTTAGGGAAATATATATTCAAGTCTTTTACCCATTTTTGAAGAGTTGTCTGATTTTTATTGTGTTAGCTTGCTGTTGTAGATTTTTGGAAGGTTTAAAATATATTCTAAATTTTAGTCTCTTACCAGATAAATGATTTGCAAATATTTCCCCCTTTGTGTAGAACTTTAGATTCATAAACTTCATTAATTTGTATGAAATTCTCAGCAGTTGACCTCAAACAGATAAGACTGAAGCAATATTTTGGAAATAGTTGAAAGTATTATCACAACAAAACAAAGGCATAATCAAATCCTGCAAGCTCCAAGTAAGGCACAATGACAAATAAAGCAGCAAAGGGCCATCTGGTGATTCGTTCACCACACTTGTTGCAACTGTTTGTGCTGCAGTTAAAACATACCAGCATTCAACCCATGTCTCCTCTCTTGAAGTAAACTGTCCTACGTTGGCTGGCCTGAACAAGCATAGATGGTCTCCAGCCTCAATTAATATGCATGCATGACAAAGAAAAGGAGGTCTGGATGAAAAAATATTGTATGATTAATAATTATGCTTTAATTAATCTTAAAGGATATAATTTCAGTGTTTGTAATTCTCCCGTCGGCAGTTATAACAAAGGATTAGTGAATAAATACAGTAGACTGTTTTGCCTAGAATTGAATCCAATCTGTCTATTAAGCTTTGCTTTTATTCAAGTGCAAAATGCTAAAACACATAATAACTGCAGTGACAGCCACTGTGGATCCTCAGAGGATTCCACAAAAATGGTCTTGGGACATAAATCCTACAAGTTAATATTGTTTTAAGGGGTTTAGGAAACCATTCAAACCTCACAGTGTGAGCAGTGGGACTCTCATTAAACTATAGCGTGTGCTTCAGTACCATTTGTAGACTGACTCATTCCTGTTGCCTTAAGTTGCCATCAGCAAAATGCCAGGGACTCCATTTCTTGCTCCTCAACTCCTCATTCTTGCCTGTCTTTCCACAAGGGAAGATTTTTAGCAGGAGCTCAAGCTGTGCTTTTAATGAAACACATCCACACACACTGTCCTGTTGTCCACATTAAGCAGAGCTCCCTGAATAACTCATGAACAAAAGCATCTATGACTAACTGTTGCTCTGTGTCCTCCTAGCCTCTGAGGAGTCTCTAATTCACAAGGACAGAGGAGATGGAGAGAGGCCGGTCAACACAAGGGTAAGGTTGCTTTGCTTTCTCTGAAATAGAAATGTTCCTTTCTTGGCATCTTTCTTTTTCAACTGACTTTACATGTGAAAAAATGACAGTGTACATTACAGGTATTAAATGCAGTTTTCTGAGGGGGTGGAAGAAGTGACTCTTAGCAACTGATACGTAATCCAAAATGGCATATACCTATGACAGCTTCAGGTTGTAGACTGTATCCTTGGGGCCCTTGTCCTTGGAAGCAATGTCTTCTCCTTGGATTCAGTATTTTGCACTTGCCAACCTACGTGGATCTGAGAGATCCACCACCCAGAAGCTGATGTCTTTTCCAGTGTGTATCCTACCCTTGTTTGGGGGGCCTTGAGGTTGACTACACTTTCTGATCAAGTTTTCAATATTCACTGAGAGAAACAGCCTTGTGCAAACAATCCACAACACGACGTACCCTTCATAAAGCTTTGTTTCTGTATTGCAGGTGGTGCAGGCGGCCCCTCTGGGGTGTGACTCTAGTAAGTATTCTGGAATTATTTACTGAGAAAACAATCTGGATGGCAAGAAAGGTGTGGCATCCTTGCAGGTTTCAATGTGAAGAGCCACCCTGATCCTGGGATTGGGATAGGAATAAGCACAGTGGAAATGTTTTTTAAAAACCTGAATTCCCCAGGGAAATATTATGGCCAATTTTTGAGGAAGCAGCTGTGCTCCCTTTTGGGTGGTGCTGACTTGGGTGCTTGAGGATTCGTGGTGTCTCATGTGAGGCTGCATCACGTGGTGTGAGTGTGTGCGTTTCTGTACAGATGAGGCTGTGTGTTTCCTCAGGAAAGATTTCCCATTTATACAACCCAATCGCAGGTGTCCACTTCTAAAAATAAAATCCATCCCCCGCCCACTCTTTCTGTGCAGTGGCTCCTCCACCCTCACCAGAGCCATCCCTGGGTCTGGCTTATTATCCCCACTGCTCAGGTGGAGAACCTGAAGGGCCAAGGGGGTGGCCCCAGCTCCCGAGTTCCTGAATGAAAAATTGAAAACATGAACCCAGGAGTGTGGGCCTGTGCTGACGCTGACATGCAGTTAGTCATGGGGTGTTTGCCACCATGCAGGGAGTCCAGCATTCATGTATAAGCCCTAAAGCACAGAGCCCAAAAGGCCCCAGACACTGCCCATCATCATAAAGTGGCCTCCGTGGTCACACAACCCAGGGCGGTTCTAGGCACATCTCCCCACAGGCCGGCCAAAAGCACAAAGATCCCCGGGGGTTTGGGTCAGCTCACAGATCCTTTTTTTTTTTTTTTTTAGCTTTTATTTTAAGGTCAGGGGTACATGTGCAGGATGTGCAGGTTTGCTACATATGTAAATGTGTATCATGAGAGTTTATTGTACAGATTATTTCATCATCCATATATCGAGTCTAATATCAGTTATTTTTCCTGATCCTCCCCCTCCTCCCACCTCCCATCCTCCAGTAGGCCCCAAGCTCACAAATTCTAAGAGGAGTGGGGGACCACGCAGGCCAGTGCGGCCCACTTCAGTATTGAAGTTAATTTGCTCAGCAACTGGACAAAGCCCATAAGGAAGGGTGATGTATTTTAGTAGATTTAGTAATACTATCTTCCCAAGCCCTAAAATGCTCAAATCCTGCCAGCTGAAAATGGTGAGGAGGGACAGATGGGAACTCTGTGCAGCACTTGGTTATCAGCCTGGCTTCCGTCCCCTCGTGGCAACTCTCTTATGCATGTGGGTAAAAGACCCTCAGCCTCAAGTCAAGCCGCCTCCATGAGGAGCCATCTCACTATTGACTGGCTAGTGCGGTGTATGGCCACCAGCCCAACTGAAACAAAATGTGGCTTTAAAACAAGTGTAAATCTCATACAACAGGCAAATGCAGAAGCAGCATGTCTTGCAAGTTGTAAAGAAGACAGTCGCAATGTCGCTGGACTTCAACGTGGGTAGAAGACATGAGGGAACTCTGTCACTGAATCACGGCAGAGTTCAAAGCCACTTGTAGACTATTTCATGTTACAGAAGGTGGCCTTTAGCTACTAAGCAAAGGCCTCTGTTTCTCATTTCTTTCCTGTTCATCTTCTTGATCATCCTTCTTCCTCAAGGTAAAAGAGCCCAAGCAAAAGGCAGTTTCAATATTAATCTGACCAAAGTTTTGTGCAGTTTATTATCATCCAGGTAATTAGGTGCAACCCGGTCTGCCTACCAGCCCCCCATCCCTGCTCTGTGTTTTCATTTAATAAATATTTTGGTCTACTTACTATGTGCTAAATTTTCTGGAGACCACAGAGTAAATAAGATAGAATCTTTACGTTAACAGCTAAGTTAGATTTAATATAACTGACAAAAATTAAAATTTCTGATTTCTTGTAAAAATATTTTGTACGTGTGAATGCATACTGAATGTAAAGTGGTTAACAAAAAATCACACTTGCACTCATGGAAGGCTTTTCATGAATTTGTCAATTTCTTTTTTTTTTTTATATTTCCCCGCTTCACTGGATAATGCATATCTGAACCTGGAAACTGATTCCCACTGCAGAAAGTGTTCTGAGCCACATCCTTTAGCTTCACTAGTGCAGGACCACCCGGGAGGATGGCCCAGCATCAGCTCAGCCCATGCTGTGATCAGCCACCTCCATGCACCACACCAAGCAAGCTCCCTGGGTGATTCAGTCTCCACCACCAGGGCACCGACCTTTACTCTGTGTTCTCCTAGCTCCCTGTGGGGATGCTGTGCAAGACATCTCTATTGAGGATGCTGAATATGACATCTGTAATGAGGACACTGTACAAGACATCTCTAATGAGGATGCTGTAGAAGACATCTCCAATGAGGATGCTGTATACGAGATTGCTAATGAGGACACTGTATACGAGATCGCTAATGAGGACACTGTATACGACATCGCTAATGAGAACGCTGTATATGACATCGCTAACGAGGATGCTGTAATATGACATCGCTAACGAGGATGCTGTATATGACATCGCTAACGAGGATGCTGTATATGACATCGCTAATGAGGATGCTGTAGAAGATATTGCTAATGAGGACGCTGTATACGACATTGCTAATGAGGACACTGTATAAGACATCTCTAATGAGGATGCTGTAGAAGTCATCTCTAATGAGAACGCTGTATACGACATCGCTAATGAGAATGCTGTATATGACATCGCTAACGAGGATGCTGTATACGACATCGCTAATGAGGATGCTGTAGAAGACATTGCTAATGAGGATGCTGTATACGACATCGCTAATGAGGACACTGTATAAGACATCTCTAATGAGGATGCTGTAGAAGACATTGCTAATGAGGATGCTGTAGAAGACATCTCTAATGAGAACGCTGTATACGACATCGCTAATGAGGATGCTGTATACGACATCGCTAAAGAGGATGCTCTACAAGACATCTCTAAAAAAGAAGATGCTGCCACTGTAAGATACTTTTCTTTGTCTTGAACAGAAATGTTACTTTCCTGGCTTCTTTTGAGTCAGATGTAGACATGAACATCTGCCAATGTGCATTATCGATGTCATCTGCAATTTAATCAAAGGTAGACATGAACATCTGTCAATGTGCATTATTTATGACATCTGCAATTCCCTTGGTGTGGTGCTATTGATTGGCAGCCTCTCACCAACCCATGCCGGGCACACTGGGGCGTGGTAGATGGCAGCGTCCACGATCCACTGCAATGCAGAGGTGTTTCCCTCCACAGCAGTTTTCCCCCGTGGATTAAGGTTGTGAAACTGCCAATCTAAATATACTTTAAAGGTAAATTCTGTGGGAAAAGCTCTTTTCTTTTCCATAGGTGTCCTCCATGTTAGTTTTGGGGGACTCCGACCTCTGACTCAGTCACTATACCCCTTCTTATTTTCTCCAGTTGTTGAGAGAATATCAGATCTGTGTGACATGCATGGCATCATTTCACCCTCCTAATGTTTTCTTTTCTATAATTGCAGGATCCATTTGTACTGGAGAATGGTACGTACCCTGAAATAACTCATTTCCTGAGGGAAAAATCCTGTCTCTAGGGTACAGAAACCTGATTCTGGACTCCTTTTGGGAAGGAGGATTCCCAAATCATTGCTCTGATGAGAGCAAATGATTTTGCAAGTATAAAACAATGTTCAGAGAGGCTGGAGGGATATCTGTGAGCCCAGAGGAAACACCAGGGGATCCTGTGTGAAGCACCAGAGCTTCAGCTGGGGTCAGAGGAGTGGGTGGGCCTCTCTCTAATGACTTATCCTGATGTTTGTGTTTTAAAGATCTGTTTTTGGAGAGCATATCCAATGATGAGGATTTGTAGGTAGGTAACTACTTTCCATGTAAGATCCAATGGGAGAGAGTTCCCAGGGGCCTTCAGTGTATCCATCTGCTTGGGAGGTTGAGGGAGGGGGCATGAAATAAAAAAGAAAAAGGAAATATGTGTCAAATTGGATTTGGTCTTTTCCAAGTTTCTTGCCATAATGTAAGAACTGTCTCTGTGGGCTGGGAGGGTGCTGTGTGATTTAAAGGTGATCTTTCCCAAAACACCTGGCCTTTTCTCTTCTGCCTCTGCCAAACATCACAGCCTTTGGGTTGGACTAGTCAGCACTGCTTGGGATTGTGCAGAAGAGGTTTGGGGTTGCATCCAGCGGCACCTGTGGCGAACAGAATCTGAGGACACAACTCCCTCACAGGCACTTACTTGAACCTGGAGACAAAGTTCTCTTGGTGTGTGCCCAGGGGTGCAGGAGAAATTGATGGTCGTCCTCTGAACTTTTAGGACTTTAAAAAGCAGTAATGTTTCCATCCTCGCTGTTGACTCCTGGCTTAAAAGGATCTCCCAGGGTGAGTGAGGAGGCGGGATCGGACCCTGGCAGTCTGATGGCAACACCTGTGTTCCTCTGCACTGGGCCATGGATGACGTTACACACCTTGGTGAGAATCAGGAATTACACACCTTTGTGAGAATCTGCATCTGGAATTGAGATGGGCCTTGAGTCATATAATTAGGTTGGAAAAGGTGCATTTTACTACCCTATTGAAAGAAACCATATTTTTCTCACTCCAGCAGGATAAATGGTTTTCAGTATCCCCTTAACTGCTCATTGACTCTTATTGTAGATCAGGAGGTGGCAAGCAGCCCCTGCCCTCCCCCCCGTTGTAGGCCCAAGGTAACCAGCAATTGACTGCATATAATGGAAGAGTGGTGCATTTGGAGGTGTCTGTATTAATGGGACCCACATGATATGGGTCAGAGCTAGGGTGAGAAAAAACCTGGGAGCACAATGAAATATTTGAATATCAAACAAAACAGTATTGAAATCTCCATTGTACCTTAGTAGTTGAAGTCATTCTTGTGGTCATCACTGCCTTTCCCAAGCATAACAAGCTACTTAATATCACATGGACCCATGCCATGAGGAATGATGATCAGTTTGTAAAATGCCAATAAAGCCATTGCCTATATAAGCCACGATATTTCATCCATATATTTCAATGTCCATGTGTAAATATAGTTCAAATGTCAGAAATTTATTATTATCTAGTAGACTATGCATGGTATATCAATGAGCGATAACCCTCATACTCTTTCTATTAATAATTATTTGCATGATGAAAAAAGCAGAGTCCCATTCTTAGATTTTTCTCAGTTTGCACACATTAGCATGACCACCCCATGTCCACCTGACATGTGCCAGCAGGAGGCCAGGAACAGAGGCTTTTCTTATTAACCAAGATTTCTAAATATATTACATATTCAAGGTTACAAATAACTCTAAATATCATAAAAGGTTAGCAAGGAAGTTTCCCTTCCACTCTGAGCTTCCAAACACCAAGTCAACATTTTTGTTTGCATGTCATCCCTACAACCTATGTGCAAATAGAAACATGCACCTGGCATGCATGCTGATGCGTGATTGTGCTTATACAAAGTCCTCTGCACCTCTGCATATATCACTGGGCAATGCACCTTAGTTATAATTCCACTTTTCAAATGTAAATCCATTGTATTGTTTCAGAGCTATAAAGTACTGCACCCTAAGTACCTTAAGCAGTACTTTCAGAGCTATAAAGTACTGCTTAAGTATTCCCAAAATTACTTAAGCACCCCCCTCTGGGTATCCATTTGTTCTGTTTCCAGTCTTGCTCTTATAACCAATGCTGTAGTGAACAGCACTGTGTTGAGAAGTGGTGAACGTGGCATCTTTGTCTTGTTCCAGTCCTCAGGGGGGATGGTTTCAACTTTTCCCCATTCAGGATAATGTTGGCTGTGGGTTTGTCATAGATGGCTTTTATTACCTTAAGGTATGTCCCTTCTATGCTGATTTTGCTGAAGGGTTTTAATCATAAAGAAATGCTGGATTTTGTCAATGCTTTTTCTGCATCTATTCAGATTATCATATGATTTTTGTTTTTAATTTTATTTATGTGATACGTCACATTTATTGACTTGCATATGTTAAACCATCCTTGCATCCCTGGTATGAAACCCACTTCATCGTGGTGGATTATCTTTTTGATATGCTGATGGATCCAGTTAGCTTGGATGTAGCATTTCTTATTATTCCTTCTGTGGAATATATTGGTTTAAATAATGAAAACATGTTCTATCTTCACTGCTTAGCACTTTGTGTTTCTTTAACAGCCTTTGCAACAGGGCAACATAAAAGAAGGAGCCCCACTATTCTCCCCTTAACCTGGAATCCCCCCTTCTCCACAGCTCTCTCATTGGACAGGATAGACTGGGCACCCAGACCTCAGGGTAAGGATATGCTCCATCACCTAGAGGTGCAGTGCCTGGGAAGGCCAACCTTGGAGGGGTGCTGCCAGCTTTACAGTGACGGAGGTGTTGGGAGGGACTGACCACCCATTTTTTTTTATTATTATACTTTATGATCTAGGGTACATGTGCACAATGTGCAGGTTTGTTACATATGTATACACGTGCCATGTTGGTGTGCTGCACCCATTAACTTGTCATTTACATTAGGTATATCTCCTAATGCTATCCCTCCTCCCTCCCCCCACCCCACAATAGGCCCCGGTGTGTGATGTTCCCCTTCCTGTGTCCAAGTGATCTCATTGTTCAATTCCCACCTATGAGTGAGAACATGCGATATTTGGTTTTCTGTTCTTGCAATACTTTGCTGAGAATGATGGTTTCCAGCTGCATCCATGTCCCTACAAAGGACACGATCTCATCCTTTTTTTATGGCTGCATAGGATTCCATGGTGTATATGTGCCACATTTTCCTAATCCAGTCTGTCATTGATGGACATTTGGGTTGATTCCAAGTCTTTGCTATTGTGAATAGTGCTGCAATAAACATACGTGTGCATGTGTCTTTATAGCAGCATGATTTATAATCCTTTGGATATATACCCAGTAATGGGATGACTGGGTCAACTGGTATTTCTAGTTCTAGATCCTTGAGGAATTGCCACAGTTTTCCACAATGGTTGAACTAGTTTACAGTTCCACCAATAGTGTAAAAGTATTCCTATTTCTCCACATCCTCTCCAGCACCTGTTGTTTCTTGACTTTTTAATGATTGCCATTCTAACTGGTGTGAGATGGTATCTCATTGTGGTTTTGATTTGCATTTCTCTGATGGCGAGTGATGATGAGCATTTTTTCTGTGTCTGTTGTCTGCATAAATATCTTCTTTTGAGAAGTGTCTGTTCATATCCTTTGCCCACTTTTTGATGGGGTTGTTTGTTTTTTTCTTGTAAATTTGTTTGTGTTCTTTGTAGGTGCTGGAAAATAGCGCTTTGTCAGATGAGTAGATTGCAAAAATTTTCTCCCATTCTGTAGGTTGCCGATTCACTCTGATGGTAGTTTCTTTTGCTGTGCAGAAGCTCTTTAGTTTAATTAGATCCCATTTGTCAATTTTGGCTTTTGTTGCCATTGCTTTTGGTGTTTTAGACATGAAGTCCTTGCCCATGCCTATGTCCTGAATGGTATTGCCTAGGTTTTCTTCTAGGGTTTTTATGGTTTTAGGTCTAACATTTAAGTCTCTAATCCATATTGAATTAATTTTTGTATAAGGAGTAAGGAAGGGATCAAGTTTCAGCTTCCTACTTATGGCTAGCCAGTTTTCCCAGCACCGTTTATTAAATAGGGAATCCTTTCCCCATTTCTTGTTTTTGTCAGGTTTGTCAAAGGTCAGATGGTTGTAGATGTGAGGTATTATTTCTGAGGGCTCTGTTCTGTTCCATTGGTCTATATCTCTGTTTTGTTACCAGTACCATGCTGTTTTGGTTACTGTAGCCTTATAGTATAGTTTGAAGTCAGGTAGCATGATGCCTCCAGCTTTGTTCTTTTGACTTAGGATTGTCTTGGCAACGTGGGCTCTTTTTTGGTTCCATATGAACTTTAAAGTAGTTTTTTCCAATTCTGTGAAGAAAGTCATTGGTAGCTTAATGGGGATGGCATTGAATCTATAAATTACCTTGGGCAGTATGGCCATTTTCATGATATTGATTCTTCCTATCCATGAGCATGGAATGTTCTTCCATTTGTTTGTGTCATCTTTTGTTTCATTGAGCAATGGTTTGTAGTTCTCCTTGAAGAGGTCCTTCACATCCCTTGTAAGTTGGATTCCTAGGTATTTTATTCTCTTTGAAGCAATTGTGAATGGGAGTTCATTCATGATTTGGCTCTCTGTCTGTTACTGGTGTATAAGAATGCTTGTGATTTTTGCACATTGATTTTGTATCCTGAGACTTTGCCAAAGTTGCTTATCAGCTTAAGGAGATTTTGGGCTGAGATGATGAAGTTTTCTAAATATACAATCATGTTATATAGAAACAGGGACAGTTTGACTTCTTATTTTCCTAGCTGAATGCCCTTTATTTCTTTCTCTTACCTGATTGCCCTGGCCAGAGCTTCCAACACTATGTTGAATAGGACTGGTGAGAGAGGGCATCCCTGTCTTGTGCCAGTTTTCAAAGGGAATGCTTCCAGTTTTTGCCCATTCAGTATGATATTAGCTGTGGGTTTGTCATAAATAGCTCTTATTTTGAGATACGTTCCATCAATACTGAATTTATTGAGAGTTTTTAGCATGAAGGCTGTTGAATTTTGTCAAAGGCCTTTTCTGCATCCATTGAGATAATCATGTGGTTTTTGTCTTTGGTTCTGTTTATATGCTGGATTACGTTTATTGATTTGTGTATGTTGAACCAGTCTTGCATCCCAGGGATGAAGCCCACTTGATCACAGTGGATAAGTTTTTGATGTGCTGCTGGATTCGGTTTGCCAGTATTTTATTGAGGATTTTTGCATCGATGTTCATCAGGGATACTGGTCTAAAATTCTCTTTTTTTATTGTGTCTTTGCCAGGCTTTGGTTTCAGGATGATGTTGGCCTCATAAAATGAGTTAGGAAGGATTCCCTCTTTTTCTATTGATTGGAATAGTTTCAGAAGAAATGGTACCAGCTCCTCCTTGTACCTCTGGTAGAATTCAGCTATGAATCCATCTGGTCCTGGCCTTTTTTTTGTTGGTAGACTATTAATTATTGCCTCAATTTCAGAGCCTGCTATTGGTCTATTCAGGGATTCAACTTCTTCCTGGTTTAGTCTTGGGAGAGTGTATGTGTCCAGGAATTTATCCATTTCTTCTAGGTTTTCTAGTTTATTTGCATAGAGGTGTTTATAGTATTCTCTCATGGTAGTTTGTATTTCTGTGGGGTCGGTGGTGATATCCCGTTTATCATTTTTTATTGCATCTATTTGATTCTTCTCTCTTTTCTTCTTTGTTTGTCTTGCTAGCCTGACCACCAATTTATAAGGCTGTGCTTTGTTGGTGACATAAAGGATTGTTTCACAGATTGCTGGGGAGGGACAATCCCAAGGCCTCACCTGGCCCTGGTCCTGGCTCTGCACAAAGGCAATAAGAGAGGGATGCTGGTAAGGGCTGACCTGTTCCTGTGCTGGGGAGGAAGGTGCTGGGCTGAAATTCAGGAGGCTGAGGATGCAGCAGTCCCATAGGAGGTACATGACCTTCAGGATACATTTTCTTAATTGATGATAAATGGAAATGAGAAATTGTTGATTATTTTTTCTGCCATTGGATATCTACTCTCTACTGCTCATGCTGTTCTTGTCTTTTGCGGAAGATGGAGGATCAATCAGTGGGTGCTGCACTGAGTGGAAGGAAGGAGAACTGTGACAAAAATTAAGGGGATATGAGGGATGAGAGGTCCTTCATCCAGGTGCTTGCAGAGCCCTCCTGAGGAGGAAAGCCCTGTGGCTGCCTGGGGAAGGAGCAGTGAGGGCTGCATGACGCCCACAGTCAAGTGTGTGGTATGTCTAAGGACACCCGGGCTGGTCTGTGAGGAGCCAGTGGCAGAGTGAGAAGCAGCAAGGAGGGTGGCTGGAGGCCAGTCTCTGGGTCATTCTCCATGTGATGGAAACAGCCAGACCCCAGTGGGCTGGGAGGTGCAGGACGCAGTGACTGATGACAGAACAATGTGGAGAGAGGCGCCATGTGTCAAATCTTTACTTTGTTCTGGGCATTGTGCTAAAACTTCCCATGGCTCATCCCATTTAGGGGCTGAAAGTTGCAGAGGTTTAGGAAGCTCACCCATGATACTGGAGCCCCCATCTCCTGCCCTAGTGTTGTCCCCCTTCTCACCCAGCCACCACCTGTTTCAGGGCAGCACGCAGAAGTGGTAACCTCTTATGGACAGGCAAGTAAATTCTGCTGTTTTTGTTATTCACAGAAAAAAACACTGGCTCGTGTGGGTTGGGAAGGTGAAATACCAGAAGGATTTCATCTGGTTATTTCTACCTATGTGAATCCTATAATATTGAAATGCATAGGTTAGCATTTTTGGCCAATTTACTCAGCATTCTGGGTTAAAGGCTCTTATTTTATTTATTTATTTATTTATTTATTTATTCATTTATTTGTTTATTTTTGAGACGGAGTTTTGCTCTTGTTGACCAAGCTGGAGTGCAGCGGCATGATCGTGGCTCACTGCAACCTTTGCCTCCTGGGTTCAAGTGATTCTCCTGCTTCAACCTCCCATGTAGCTGGGATTATAGGTGCTTGCTACTATGCCTGGCTAATTTTTTGTATTTTTAGTAGAAATGAGGCTTCACCATGTTGGTCAGGCTGGTCTTGAACTCCTGACCTCAGGTGATCTACTTGCCTTGGCCTCCCAAAGTACTGGGATTATAGGCATGAGCCACCATGCCTGGCCTAAAGGCTTTTAAAATTCACTTGCATAAGCTGACTTAGTTTTCTTTAACCTTATAGAAAAATGCAAAAATGGCAATCTCTTTTATCACACAAATAATGTCTTTTTAATAGAGTTATTTTTTCTAATTGATGTATTATGTACTTTTCATTCACTAATAAATTGCTTACATTTGAAGTGTTTTATGAATTAATATTTAATTGCATAGATGAAGATTACTAGTCATAGGCATTTTACTAACCAGTACTCATTAAGCATAGCATGGATTGATGTGATGTTGTAGGCTGAAAGAGTGAGGGTCGTGATCAACTCAGTGTGCCACTGGAGGCTATATGAGTAAACAGCAAACTGTTCTCATGAATGCAGAATGTTGGCAAAATGACAAACTGTGTCTGCCACCCAGAGGGAATGCTGAGGGCAGTCACACCCCAGGCGCAGCATTTCTTGAGATTAGGCACATCTGAAGCCTGTTAGCAATAATGTGAACCTGTGATCAATTGAGAAGCTGACCAATCATTACCTCCTGCTCTCTGCTCTTTCTACTCAATAAATACGAAGGGCTGTAGAAGCTTAGGGCGGCCACCCTTGCCCACTGGAAGCTGGGAGCCCTCTTCTTCTTCCCTGGCCCCTTCTTTAAACAGTTTCTTTTTTCCTTGGTTTTCATTTCTTCATTCATCCTCCTTTGTTCAGTCCCACAGTAACTGTGGCAAACCATGGGGACTGTCACAATGTGATGTCAAGGAGCTATTTTATCTGGTAAAAGGAAAAAGATACTACAGGAATTAATGCAAGAGCTGGGCCAGTGGAGACACTGACAGTGATTTGTCTAAGATCCAAATCATTTTGTTGTCTTTCCGGCCTACCATTGTCATCAGCATTGTTGGGGTCCTTTTAGCACAGATTTCTCAAAATGGGCAACCCATAACACTTGGAAGCTTATGAATTCATAGAATTTGAAAGAGGGCAATTTGGGAGCACCCATCTATTTTAAAATTCCAGTAACCTGGGAATTTCATCCCATGTCTAGAGTCTTTTATGTAAATGATTTCCACTATTAGAAATATGTGCATGGGGATTTTCTATGAAGCAGTGTTTTGATAGAATAGAAAGTTGGGACAAACCAAATTTCTATCATGAAGGAAATAGTAATACACTGAATAATAATACAGTGAATATTATGCAGGCTTTAAACATCAAAAAAGAGCTCAACTTCTGACTTCCGATGATCATATTGAAGTAGGTCACAGCTGGTTTACATTTGATTTTCATGCGGGAATTCTGGGTGTCTGCCTTAGTGATTTTGTATGTGGCTAAATTTAGCCAATGAAAAGCTATTTGAAGTATGGCAAAATGGAACTTTAAAACACTATCTTGTCAACAACCAAGTGGACCTGTTTCACATAAAACCCTCACATTCATCTGCCTGCCCCTCCTTCTCTCTGTCCACACGGGCATCATTTGTTAGTGGAACTGAGTGTTCACTGTCGAGCTAACAATCCCATAACCTTCCTCTTCCTAGTCACATGTTAATTCTTCAACAAATCCCTTTGGATAGATTGTGATTAAGCTTAGCTGCTAGTTCCAGTTGCTTCCCCAAACATACTTCTCACTGTTCTCCCATCACACCCTTCAGCCCATCCATGCGGGGTTCCTTTGCTTTTCCCACCTTACACCAAACTCCCTATTTTCACTCCCACTTTTACCTCCTCTCCATGACAAAACAAACAAACACCACTAGCATTTTAAAACTTAGTTGTAATCTTTCTTCCTTCATGAAAATTTCTCCAACAGCCACTCCCATGGCCCTGTGTGTTCCAGATATTTTAAAATATTGGCTATAAGGTTGAGCACGTCAGGATTTGCTGTTTCGGGCTGCACACTGTTTTGTTTGTATTGATTCTTCCTATTGGAGGCGTGGTCATTGCCTTCTCCTCCTCTGGGGAGTTTATGCCAGTGCTCTTGAATAAGATTGGCAGACAATTTTTCTTTTTATACTTAATATTTTTTTTGTTTGGTCTTAAGATCATCCATGACTGGGGACTTCATCCACAACTGCGGACTTCATTCACAGCTGGCAGCTTCATCCACAGCTGGGGGCTGCATCCACAGCTGGGAATTCATCCATAGCTGGGACTTCATCCATAGCTGGGGACTTCATCCATGGCTGGGGACTTAATTCAGAGCTGGCAGCCTCATCCACAGCTAGGGGCTGCATCCACAACTGAAGCATCATTTACAGTTGGGGGCTTCCTCCACGGCTGGGACTTCATCCACAACTGGGTCATCATCCGTGACTGGGACTTAATCCATATCTGGGGGCTTCATCCATGTCTGGGGGCATCATCCGTGTCTGGGGGCATCATCCATGGCTGGGGAGTTCATCCACAGCTTGTTTGCCTGATCTGTGTCTGAGTCACAGATACAGATGATTAAACCTAGTAATTTCATTGAGTTCCACTTCTATAGTTTTTGTTTCAAAAGTTGTTTGTTGATAATTTAATGAAATAAACTAAATCAGAATTACCCCCTTTTAATTATGTCCTTGTGTCAATATAGAAAGAGTGGATTTAAGGAAACACTGAGATGCCCCTGTCTGTGTTTGTGAACAGGACTGTTGGGTCTAAAGCCTTTCTCTGGTAGCTCTCCAGAAGATTGCCCCACCTTACACTTGCTTTCTGCAGGTTCCAGAGGCTTCCATTTGAAAGGAGCCTCTCTCCCCACTCTGCCTCACCCCACACCAGCTCTCCTGTAACCCACTGACTTTGTAAACGCTTTCTTCCACCTGCACCTCATTGAATTCAAAACTTGGAAAATAGTCAAAAATTCTAAAAAGGTGGGAGTGGGTGTGATCTGGAAATCCCTGCTATAATGTTTTTAAGGGAATCTACTGGAAACTGTGTTTTAAATAAAACCAACCATCCCTTAGCACTAGAATATCAAGCCATTCATTTTTTAACAGAACTTTGAGATATAATTCAAATACCATAAATTTCACCCCCACACAGGGTACACAAAATTCAATGGTTTCTAATATATTCCCAGAGGTCTGCAAAAATTACCACAATTGAATTTTAGACAGTATCACTTATTGACATCCATACATGCATATAGATGTAGATATATATAATTTTAATATCATCTTGAATATTGTAGTATTTAATATTGTACTATAATAATATCTGTGTCTTTATATTGCTGTTTCATTTTGTTATTCTGAATGACAATCTCCATGTACCTTTATACAGTTTAAAATACACCTTTTTACGACTGGAGAAATGAAATTGTTTCTAGTAAATCACGTAAGAAACACACATGCTATTGTTATAAAAATTCAAATACTGCTCAGATCTGTAGAATGAAATGTATCACTGCCAGCACCCCGCCCACTCAGTCATCCACATCCACTTACACACAGATAGACATGCCCATGTTTTTACATAATGTAATACTGCTTTGTGTGTTGTTCCCTGACTGGCTTTTCCATATAAAGTAGAATTTGGTGATCATTGCTTATCAGTACATGTAGGTCTCTCTCATTCTTATTTCTAGTTGCATCATTATTCAACAGGGTATTTTACCATAATTTGGTCACTTTTTCACTATGGAATTCTTATGTTGGATTCAGTTATTTATTACAATTACCTATACTATCCTGGGCATACCTGTATATTCATCTTTTTGGTAACTTAATTAAGTGGGATTTTTCTTTCATGGTTGATTTCTAAAAATAAAATACTGAGGCAAAGTATAAATCTTTAGTTATTATTACTATTTTTTGAGACGGAGTCTCGCTCTGTTGCCCAGGCTGGAGTGCAGTGGCATGATCTTGGCTCACTGCAAGCTCGGCTTCCCAGGTTCACACCATTCTCCTGCCTTAGCCTCCCAAGTAGCTGGGACTACGGGCGCCTGCCACCATGCCCAGCTAATTTTGTTTTTGTATTTTTACAAATAACACAGGGTTTCACCATGTTAGCCAGGATGGCCTTGATATCCTGACCTTGTGATCTGCCTGCATTGGCCTCCCAAAGTGCTGGGATTACAGGTGTGAGATACTGCGCCTGGCCATATTTTGATAAAAAATTAAAAATCGTGTTTCAAAAAAATTTAATGATCTTATATTCTCACCATCAGTACATGAGAGTTCCTATTTCCACACACCCTTAATTACAGAGGAAATGACCAATGCTAATCTTGGCCAATTTTATGATTAAGAAATATTTCCACTTTTAATTTGGATTTCTCCACTTATTAGAGAGATTGTGCATTTTTTGCATATGTTTACTGGCCATTTATATTTCTCGCTGATAATTTCATAATGATATGTTTTACTAGTTTTCTAATTCATTTAATGATATTCTTTATATATTCTGCACATTTATTCCATATAATTAGCAAGTTTGTTTCTTAAGATCTGTGTCATAACTTTTATTTTGTTTATATTATCTTTGTTTTAAAGAAACTTTCATTTTTAGATAATCAAATTGTTGATTATTTTCCCTACCATTTCTGGATTTTGTGACTTGCTTTCAATAGCATGTCCTTTTAGGGCTTTATTGATTTGTTTTGTTTAAAGAGTGTGCTCAAATCTTACATTATTTAGTAATTTCTCCCATTACAGTATGTGGACATCACTAATTCCAACTAACGTAGATCAAATGTATCATTTGAATTTCTGTGTAGTAATGCACATTGTAGATAAGTTCTGATTTCTTTAACTATTCCCTATTATATGGATATTAAGGTTGTTTTTAAAAATTCCCACCACTAATATCCTATGTAGGCTAAATGACACTAAAAGATTTTTGTAAATAAAAATGCTAATTTGGCTGGTGAAAAATCCCATAGATGCTTTAATTAATCAATTTTTTTCTATTTCAATTAGTTGCCTATTCAGAGCCTGTGTGTATGTATTTCTATTTGGCAGTTTATAGTTGGAAACACTCCTAAAAAAGGAAATCTAAAAACCACACAAAATACAAAAACATATTTGATTAGTAAGAATTAAATTTCTGCATATCCAAAAAATTGCTAAAAATATTAAAATTGTAGTCAAAATACCAGCTTATGAAACAAAGCAAACAAAAATACTAAACAGAAGAAACAGGCTAGGTGCAGTTGCTCACTCTTGTAATCCCAGCACTTTGGGAGGCCAAGGCAGGAGGACTGTTTGTGTCCAGGTGTTCGAGACCAACCTAGGCAACATAGCAAGACCCCATCTCTACAAAAAAAAATTAAAAATTAGCCGAGCATGGTGATGCATGCCTGTAGCCCTAGCTCCTCAGGAGACTGAGGTGGGAGGATCACTTGAGCTCAAGAGATCAAGGCTGTAGCGAAGCCATGTCAATGCCACTGCACTGCAGTCTGGGTGACACAGTGAGAGCTGTCTCAAAAAAGGAAGAGGAAAAGAATACTCTAGCTCCACTTCCCCACCACAGAAATCTAACTGGCAACTATCCACAGACGGGAATACCCTCAAGAATATATATTCCAGAAACAGGAGGAATGCTGCCCAGGCTGGAGTGCAGTGGAGTGATCTCGGCTCACTACAACCTCTGCCTCCTGGGTTCATGCGATTCTCCTGCCTCAGCCTGCCGAGTAGCTGAGATTACAGGTGCCTACCACCACACCTGGCTAATTTTTTGTATTTTTATTAGAGATAGGGTTTCACCATGTTGGCCAGGCTGGTCTCGAACTCCTGACCTCAGGTGATCCACCTGCCTTGGCCTCCCAAAGTGCAGAATTACAGGTGTGAGCCGCCGTGCCCAGCCTACTGTCTATTGACTTTTGATAAAGGCACAAAGAACACACCAAGGGGAAAGAACAGTCTATTCAATAAATAGTGCTGGGAAAAGTGACTATTCATATGCAGAGAATAAAATTAGACACTTATCTTGCACCATGCCTAAAAATCAACCCAAAATGGATCAAAGACTTAAACATTAGGCTGAAAACTGTAAAACTACTATAAGAAAGCACAGAGGAAAAGCTTCATGACACTGATCTGGGCAATGATTTTTTGGGTATGTCCCCAAAAGCACAGCAATAAAAGCAAAGATAGAAACAGAATGGCATCAGACTAAAAAGCTTCTGCACAGCAAAAGGAACAAGTAACAAAGTAAAGAGACAACCCACATCATGAGAAAAAATATCTGCAAACCATACATTAGATAAGGGGCTAATATCCAAAATATATAAGGAACTCAATCAACTCAACAGCAAAATAACAAATAAGCCAATATAAGAATGAAAAAAGGAACCAAACATATTTTTCAAAAGTAGACATGCAAACAGCCAACAGGTTCATGAAAAAATGCTACCTCAAAGGCAGGTCCTGGGACCAGTAACATCAATATTATCTGGGAATTTGTTCAAAAGACAAAATATCAGGCCCCACTGCAGACCCACTTACCTGGAAGTTGCATTTGACAAGATTCCCAGGTGATCCATATGCATGTTAAAGTTTGAGACGCTTACTATAGACAGCAGGTACTGAAGAAGCTCTGGGGCCCAGAACTGACCGGTGGCAACCTAAATCTTTAGGAAAATGCAAATTAAAACCACAGTGACATAACACCTCCCTCTCATCAGAACGAGTTTTATGAAAAAGACGGAAGGTAAGTGTTGGCCAGGATGTGGAGAAAGGGGAACCCTAGTACACTGCCAGTGTACAGTACAGCTGCGATGGAAAATGGCATGGACGTTCCTCAAAACACTAAACATAGAACTATCCTGTGAGCCAGCAATCCCACTTCTGAGAACATATCCAAGAGAATTGAAATCAGTGTGTTCACGGATATCTGCACTCCCTTGTTCACTGCGGCCCCATTTACAGTAGGTAAGATGTGGAATCTGCCTAAGTGAATCAGCCTAAGATGAATGCATACAGAAAAGGCAGTGCACATGTACAACGACGTACTATTCAGCCTTAAAAAGAACAAAACTCAGCTGGGCGTGGTGCCTCACACCTGTAATCCCAGCACTTTGGGAGGCTGAGGTGGGCAGATCACCTGAGGTTGGCAATTTGAGACCAGCCTGGCCAACATGGTGAAACCCCATCTCTATTAAAAAAAATTTTTGTATATATACACACACACAAAATTAGCCTGGTATGGTGGCGCATGGCTGTAATCCCAGCTACTTGGGAGGCTGAAGCAGGAGAATCACTTGAACCTGGGAGGTGGAAGTTGTGATGAGCAGAGATCATGCCATTGCATTCCAGCCTGGGCAACAAGAGTGAAACTCCATCTCAAAAAAAAAAAAAAAGAAAAAAAGAACTAAACTCTGTTATTGGGAAGACACAAATAAATCTAGAGGACATACTGCCAAGTGAAATACAAACACCACAGAAAGACAAATATCACATAATCTCAACATGCACGTGGAATCTTTTAAAAGTTGATTTGGGCCAGGCGCCCTGGCTCATGCTGGTAATCCCAGCACTTTTGGAAACTGAGGCAGGTGGATCATTTGAGGTCAGGAGTTTGAGACCAGCCTGGTGAACATGGTGAAACCCTGTCTCTACTAAAAATACAAACATTAGCCAGGCATAGAGGCAGGTGCCTGTAATCCCAGCTACTTGGTAGGCTGAGGCAGGAGAATCGCTTGAACCCAGGAGACGGAGGTTGCAGTGAGCTGAGATTGTGCCATTGCACTCCAGCCTGGGTGACAGAGTGACACAACATCTCAAAAAAAAAAAAAAGTTGAATTCATTCAGTAGAAGAATGATGGTTACCAAAGCTGGCAAGGTGGCAGAACAAGGGAATGGAGACCTCCTCTTCAAAAGGTACAAAGTTTCAGCCAAGCAAGAGGAAAAAGTTTTGAGGTCTGTTGCAAGCAGGAGACTATAGTCAATTAATAATGAATATTTCAAAATAACTAAGAGAGGAAATTTCTTTTTTTTTTTTAGACGGAGTCTCACTCTGTCACCCAGGCTGGAATGCAGTGGCGTGATCTCAGCTCACTGCAAGCTCCACTTCCTGGGTTCATGCCATTCTCCTGCCTCAGCCTCCCAAGTAGCTGGGACTACACGCGCCCGCCACCACGCCCGGCTAATTTTTTGTATTTTTAGGAGAGGCGGGGTTTCACTGTGTTAGCCAGAATGGTCTCAATCTTCTGACCTCATGGTCTGCCCGCCTTGGCCTCCCAAAGTGCTGGGATTACAGGCGTGAGCCACTGTGTCCGGCCTAAGAGAGGAAACTTCAAGTGTATCAACCATAAAAGAATGCCAAGTAAGTGAGGTAACAGGGATGTTCATTAGCTTCTCTTAATCACTCCATATTGTATTAAGTTAAATTTGGTCTAAAACTTCAGATCGGGGGTTGCATGGGGCAGAGTGGGGGAACTGCCAGCAAAGGGCCGCAGGGATTTCCAGGTTATGGGATGTTCCATATCATGATTGTGGAGGTGGTCATGAGGGTGCATACATTTCTGAAAATTCATCCAGCTGGACTCTTAAAATGGGCGTATTTTCTTGAATGTAAATTTTTCTCCATAAAGTTGATTTTATTTATTTATTTATTTTTGAGATAGAGTCTCACTCTGTCACCCAGGCTGGAGTGCAGTGGTGCAATCTCAGCTCAATGCAAACTCTGCCTCCTGGATTCAAGTGATTCTCCTGCCTCAGCTTCCCGAGTAGCTGGAATTTCGTTTTGTTTTTTTTGTTTTTGTTTTGAGACGGAGTCTCGCTCTGTCGCCCAGGCTGGAGTGCAGTGGCCGGATCTCAGCTCACTGCAAGCTCCGCCTCCTGGGTTTAGGCCATTCTCCTGCCTCAGCCTCCCGAGTAGCTGGGACTACAGGCGCCTGCCACCTCGCCCGGCTAGTTTCTTGTATTTTTTTAGTAGAGACGGGGTTTCACCGTGTTAGCCAGGATGGTCTTGATCTCCTGACCTCGTGATCCGCCCGTCTTGGCCTCCCAAACTGCTGGGATTACAGGCTTGAGCCACCGCGCACGGCCATCTTTGTGTATTTTAGTAGAGATAGGGTTTTGCCAAGTTGGCCATGCTGGTCTTGAACTTCTGACCTCAAGTGATCCACCCACCTCGGCCTTCCAAAGTGCAGGGATTACAGGTATGAGCCACCAGGCCCAGCCTATAAAGTTGATTTTAAAACAAGAGAAATCAACATCACCAGCAAATAAATTAATTAATTAAAATAAAATAAAGCTGCCTCCATAAAGCACACTGTAACCTAACTTAATAGGTGTGAAAGGACAATAAATCTTGGGACCCCAAGAGGCTAAAGGGAAAAGTCAAGCTGGGAACTGCTTTGAGCAAACCTGCCTCCCATTCTATTGAAAAGTCTCCCCTCTGCTCACTGAGATAAATGTGTATCTGATTGCCTCCTTTGGAGAGGCTCGTCAGAAACTCAGAAGAATGCAGCCATTTGTCTCTTATCTATCTAAGACCTGGAAGCCCCCTCCCCACCTCGTGTTGTCCCACCTTCGCTTCGAGCTGTCCTGCCTTTCCGGACCGAACCAATGTTCATCTTACATACGTTCATTGATGTCTCATGTCTCCTTAACATGTACAAAACCAAACTGTGCTCTGACCACCTTGGGCACAAGTCAGGACCTATGGAGGCTGTTATGGGTGCGCGTCCCCACTCTTGGCAAATAAACTTTCTAAATTAACTGAGACCTGTCTCAGGATTTGGGGTTCACATAAGTAAACAAAACAGGCTGCAACCTAACCTGAGAGTATGCCCTTGTAATAAGTAGCCCAGTCTCAGCCAATCACAGCAGCGGAACTCTCGGCCCTTCACAGGCGGCCAGCTGCCAAAACATGTTCAAACAAGGCAACTGCAGAGCTGTAACCAACAGGCTATTTCTGCATGAAACTTACGTTTTCTGGCTATAAACATTCCCAGCCCACTTGTGGAGCAGAGATCTGCGAACCGCTTTTGGTTCTCAGCACCACCTGGTTCACAAATCTTTTTTCTGTTCAACTAAACTCTGTCAAATTTAGTCTAAGGCTTTTCTCTTTAACAGTATACATTTATCACACATCACATTGTACTACATAAATGTAATTCAATTGTGATTTATAAACTTAAAATAGTATATTTTTTTTGAGACAGAGTCTCACTCTCTCACCCAGGCTGGAGTGCAGTGGCACCATCATAGCTCACTGTGACCTCAAACTCCTGGGCTCAAGCAATCCTCTCACCTCAGCTTCCTAAGTAGCTGGGACTGAAAGTGCATGCCACCATGCCCAGCTAATTTTTTTTTTAATTACTGTAGAGATGGGGGGTCTCACTGTGTTGCCCAGGCTGGTCTCAAACTCCTGGTCTCAGTGGATCCTCCTGTGTGATCCTCCCACCTCAACCTCCGAAAGAACTGGGATTACAGGTGTGAGCCACCACGCTTGGTCCAAAAATAATATATAATTTCTTTTAAAACACTAGATTTTGTTTCAACTTTTATTTTAGAATTGGGGGTACTGTGCAGGTTAGTTACAAAGGTATATTGCATGATACTGAGGTGTGGGGTATGCCAGAACATGTCAAGGGGATATTTTGGTTGTCAGCTACCTGAAAAAGTACGCTTTCAAGTCAACAGCTGCAGCACTATTTTAAAAAATGGAAATGTAACAATGAGGGTTAAATAAATTTCGACAAATTTATAAAATGGAATACTATAGTGATATGAAAACCATTTTAGACTGTTTAATCAAGATAGGGAAAACTATAATATCTTACTGAATAAAAAAAGAAATTATAGAGAAATCTTTTTTGGGTTTTTTGAGACAGGGTCTCGCTCTGTCACCCAGGCTGGAGTACAGTAGCACAATCTAGGCTCACTGCAGCCTCTGCCTCCTGCTCAAGTGATCCTCTGGCCTCAGCCTCCCAAGTAGCTGGGACTACAGGCAAGTGCCACCATACCCACCTAATTTTTTACTTTTTGTAGAGATGGGGTCTCACTGTGTTGCCTAGGATGGTCTGGAACTCCTGGGCTCAAGCAATACTCCTGCCTCAGCCTCCCAAAGTGCTGGAATTACAGGCATGAGCCACCACACCAGCCAGGAAATCATATTGCATGAACCCAACTTTATAAAACATAAACTACTCACACATATTGGTGGTGGCGGGGGAAAGAACCGAGAGGAAATATACCAAAAATGCCATTAATGGGTAACTCTCAGAGGGATTACAAATCATTTTTACCTTTTTTTAATATGTCTCTTACTTTCCAAATTTCCTGTGATTAACTAATATGTAATTTTAAAATAAGCAATAATTCATTTAGAGAATAGATTTAACATCTATATTCTCTAATTACTTTTGTTGGTAATAGTGTTCCTATTCCAAGTTCAAAAAAATTAATAAATTAGGGATAAAAAGAAGTGTTCAAATATTTTTTCTTAATTCTTTTTTTTTTTTTTTGATAGAATTTCATTCTTTTCACCCAGGCTGGAGTGCAATGGCACTATCTCAGCTCACTGCAACCTCTGCCTCCCGGGTTCAAGCAATTCTCCTGCCTCAGCCTCCCAAGTAGCTGAGATTACAGGCGTGCGCCACCACACCCAGCTAATTTTGTA